AAAATATATTAGTACTCTTCTTATGAGTCGGCGCTGGAGTTCTTCAACGACTTCAGTCAATACATTCCCTCGTCTTGTGTTCTCTCTCGTCTATAGCAAATAAGTTCAATTTACAGTGAAATTTTAGACACAGTAAACTGAATATAATCTATATTTGAAGTAATAAATTGAAATCAATTGAAAGTAATACTAATACTGTATTTCAAATATAATACAATACAGTAGTTGTCCGTAAACTACAAGTCAAGTCAATACAACATTGAAAGTGAGGGACTTTTGTGAGCAATAGTGACGTCAAAGTTAACAATAAGTAACAGAATGAGTGAATGACTGACTGCGGGGGCAATGCATGCGTCACGTCATTCGTGAAGAGTGCATTGCTTTCGTCATTGCATTATATTTTGGTTTTGATGTCATTATTGTATTGAATATTGTGTTGAATAGTGAGCTATAGATGAGTGAAGTATTTGAGAGATCAGTGAATGGATTAGTGTTTGGATGACAACTGGATGGTGGAGTTGAACGACTGGTTGACCACCGATTGACAATTTTCGGCAAAACTGTTTCGTTTACGGCATTTCGGGAATTCCAAGAGTGGCTCAAAGAGTGGTCGCAAGAGTGGGCACAACCATTCGTGCGGTGAAGATATGAAGCAAGAGTTGAGTGCTTTTCAGCTGAAAGATGAGGGAAACAAATACTATCTGAACCACAAGTATGAAGAGGCCATCAATAGCTACACGCGAGCCATAGTATGTCTGCTCCACGACCGACATGTCCTCCATGTCCTCCATGTCCGAACATCTATTGTAACCAATGTTCTCATGTCTTCATAGGTGCGCAACCCATCTGTTCCCACATTCTTCACCAACAGAGCGCTGTGTTATCTAAAGCTTCAACAGTGGGAACAGTCGTATCAGGACTGCCGGCGAGCCCTCGAAATGGAGCCAAACCTAATCAAAGGCCACTTCTTCTTAGGCCAGTCTCTGCTAGAAATGGATCACTTCGACGACGCCATCAAACACT